AGTTATTTTTTAATTCTTTGAAACTTAATTTAAAAATCCATTATCGTTAAATGTTAAGATTTAATATATTGATACAATAAAATGATTTTTTAATTAATAAAACAGTAATATAAAAAAGTTACCGAAGAAAATTGATACTTAAGATATTAGTTTTCTCGATTCGCTTAATACATTATCATTAAAGAAAAATTATTCATTTTTATCTATAAAAATACTTTCCAGCAGTTCACTAGAATGTATTGTGTCGATAAGGTTGTGTAGATTTGTCACGAGCGATTTACTGCATTTAAACTGTTTACTTTGCTGAATGTTTTATTTTATTTTTATTTTTAATACGTATGTATATTCTATTGGGGTTAAGTTAGATAACTTTGTTTGTATCGTTTTACAATAAATCATTTTTTCTGGGTTTTTGTTACTGTATTATATAACGTCAGTATTAAAATTTATTACAAGCATCTCATTAAAAGATACTATTATTATTTGAATGTCCTTATGATAGATACTTTTTAAATAATTTTAAACTATATAGATTTTAGAAATCAATATTAATTGATATATTATTATTAAACTAATATAGAATATAGTAATTGTAATACAAATTATAGTATTTATCAAACTTTTAAAATTGTTAAAAAAAATCACCTCAAGACAAATTATATTTTTCAATGTAAAAATCGTCAGAATTTTTTAAAAAACATTAGTATCATCAGTAAATAATAGCATAATATTTTTACAAAAATTATAATATACATGTTTGATCAAAAAAGTAGGTAAATCGTGATAAATAAAAGATAATTTAAATATTATAATACTGTTATATATAAAATTCTGATTAATACGTTTTTACCCAGATAATTTAAAATTTAAATCTCTTAATGCTTCACAGTATTTGATTTTAGTTTTTTAAAACTGCAATTAAACTACGTTTAAACTTAATATATTTTATACGTCATTTAAAAACCAAGTACTTACAATTTAATATAGTATAATATTATTTATTATCTAAAACCTGATGGCTGATATCATATTTCACCTCGAGTTTCTGCGGAATTATTTTAAATAAATACGATGTAATTTTACAGGAAATAAATTACATCATTACGTTAAATAATTTTTACGTTTTATCTGTAAATGTATTTGTTATTTTTTAAATTGAATATAAGTACATACGCTTTGAGTTAAAAAAAAAAAAATAATCAATATTTAAGACATCATGTAGTATAAACCATAATATTATAATCGTATTAATATTATATTCTTGATACGTAAGTACGTGAGAAAAGCACACTAAATCTTATCCGTGAACCATTTAGTTGAATAATTTATTAGAAGCATTTACATAATTTTATATCGGTCTATTGAACATCAATATTATTAAATATACTATTTACAGTGCACGTCATATATAAATTAATAAATATTGTATGGGTAATAAAATAGTTAGTATAATTATACAAAACTTTGGAAAATTATTACAAGTATGAAATTGAATTAGTTAAGAACATTAAGTTATAAGTTATTAGTTAACAAACGATTTATTTAACTCTAAAAGTTAACACAGAGAAAAATATAACATTAAACCATTTTTTTAAATTAAATGATTCAAACATTTTTATTATTTTAAATAATTACTAAGTATTATCTAAAAAGGTAGGCACTTGAATACCACTTTGCTACTCATTATATATCGAGAGGATAACAATAATGGGTATATTAAATTTGAATTATATGATAAATCACTGTATCCATATGAAAAACGATTCTAAATGAAGATGAGAAGGCCTGTCAGCTTATATTAAAAACTATATTTCATAATATGTTGTTTTGATATACATACCATGTATTACATAGGTATTATATAGTAATTTACTTTATTTTTAATGATACGGTAGGTTGATATAATTTTTTTTTAAATTTTGCATCTATTTTATTATTAGTGCTTTATAATAATAATAATAATAATATATATTTTAATCACTTTACATAAATTTATATTTTTCAAAATGTAATATTTTTTTGTAAATACAGTTAAAATATATTCATACTATAAATAGATAACATTTTAAAATAAATCAAAAATGTCATTGAGTATAGTATAAATCATAATAATATGATATTCGTTAACGCATTTAGTTTCCACGAATAATACTTTTAAATTATTTTAAAATAATAAATTGATATCATTATTTATAGTTTAAATTAGTAATTTTGTCTGAATTTCAACTTAAAATATCTATAAAAATAATTGTCTTTGTATATTTTTTAGATTGTATAGTTTTAGTGTAATAATTACTTCTGATAAATTTCGTGTTAAATTTTCAAGATTTAGATATAAAAAAAAAATCTTATGAGTTACTAACTACAAAATATTTAGACCTTTTTATAGCACAAACTAGGTCAAATTTACTACCTATTTAAAACCACCTTCAAAGTCGATAAATGAATTATTTTATCAAATACTTATCAAGTACACATGCAAACATGAAAAAAAAAATCACACGTGATTGTAAATCAATGAATTCATTGCTTTGCTTAAAACTTAAAATACATTATAGGTACTATTTTTGTGTGTTGTGTGTTGCGTAGCATAGCTATAGACTAGTTCAACAAATTGTATGTTTTTGTTGATTAAATTATTAAATTAAGGAATATTTCTTTGTTTAATAGTATTTTAAGTCATTGTGTATATGCACAGCAATATATATAAAAAAAAAAATTAAATAGTTTATTACAATTATAGAAATGTATAAAGTTATCGTATTACTTTTTTTGTTGAAATTAACTAGAAAAAGCTGTTATTACAAGAATGGATTATTTAAAACCGGTTAAAAAGTTTTTTGAAAAATTGTAATTTTTTAACTAGTTAATACTCATTTTTGTGGTAATCGTAATTGAATTTATCCACTTGTAGTAAAACTCGCATTTCGACCATTTTGCATATAATATATTGACCGATGATAATAAAATTGACGTGACTGCCGCCGCTGGACACCAAATATTTGAACACGGCGTTCGAATTGGCAACTGTATCCGCGGTTTTTTTTCTGGTTTGTTTAATGGGAAACGCATTTATTTGGCACGATCGATGTGCTGTAGGCGCCATGTGATAATACTGCGTCGACGGTGAAACAAATGATAATAATAATGTATTGTAATGTGATTATAAATTTATTTTTGCTCGTGGCATTCGACGAAAACGTTAAACCACGACATGCGCGTTAAAATATGTCGACAGGAACAAAAAAAATTATAATAATATTATTGTGCAAAAAGTAACAAGCCAAATTTGTTTTTTTTTTTTTTAATCATCATTGTTTGTAGTCAACGTCTCCGTCGGGCCGTCGTAATATTATCATGGTCGAATGTTATTGAGTTTCAGGTTTTAGAAGGGTTTATCTTTTTAGTCCTCTAGCCATATCAGAAAATATACTGTTTTTAACAGTGTTACAAAAAACCAGCAAGATTGTTTTCAAGGAAAAAAATTGAATATAAACTTATTTGGATGTTATGGATTGTCTAACTACTGTAATAGTTTTATTTATCTTTTAATCACAATATTGTACATAATTTAAATATACACATACTATATTATTGAGAGTTCATACCCCCGTAAGTACATTATGTATATTATTTAAAACAGGGTCTACAATATATATATTTTATATGTATATGGGTGCATGTATGACGTATGTATAATGTATATATATTAATGATTACAATCAGATTGTGATAATGACATCGTATAAGTGGTTTGTGTGAAAAATGAATACATTTCTTTTGATATAAAAATAAGAATAAACTGAACTATAATGCACCCTGTATTACAATTGAAAAGGCGTGAGCTTTGGGACAAAAGTTTTAGTACTATAAAAATGTATATAATCGCATTCATTTTGATTCAGTATTTATTTTTATACAAATTACCAGTTATAATGCATTACGTACCGACTAGTGCGGTAGTATTATAGTGTCTTTTAAATGAGTTTTTAAAATTTTTATTAGAATTTTTTTAGTTTTTTAATAAGACATTTTATATTTTATTACGTATATTTATTGGAGTTTTCGTCAATTTATCTCAATTTGTCAAATTTTTATTCCGTCACGGGTTTTGGTATAAAAACTTTATTTTCTAAGACAATGTTTATAATAACAGCTATAAAAATGTTTTATTAGTTTACACAATGGATCGACTATATGTATGTATACACGCCGTCGGAGCAGAAAAAGGACTTGATAATTAATTATAGTCAAATGATTAACATTATAAAATTACAAAATTGAGAAATCGCTGTAAGTCATTTGTAAGTCACTGTAGCCATAAGAAATTTTAATATATACTATCTCAGAGTCACCAGAAGCAGTACGTTTAATAGTAAAAATAATATCATCACGTCGATCAACGTTCGCAACTATATTACAATACACAGACTATAATATATACTAGTCTGTAATAGAAGAGTTAGGAAAAAAAAAAAAACAATTTGGTACAAGACCAACATCAATCAAAGCATAGCTATTGTTATTTAAGTGTAAAATGTGTCATTTGAAAATTTTTTTTTACAAAATAATATTTATAGTAGTTGTATTTATGTATATTAGTAAACTTTCCGTGCTTACGTCTGTGTTGCGTTTGACACGCGGTAGCTATGTGTACAGATGAAATGTGTATTTGTCAAATGTTGTGGGTTTTCGTTAAAATACGAGTATTCCAGCACGCAATAATACCTACTGCCGATATAATATACACTCCGTTTTAAATTAATCAACTCGGACATGTTCGTTCATAATATGCCAGACTCGTATAACGGATATACACCTTCGTCTCGTATTATATTATATTGTACATAAATATTAAATAGTATATCATAATACGATTTATATTATATATTATATTCCTGGACAATAATACATATTATACATAATATTAAATATCACGCTATTTTTGAAGTACGTTATTTATTTTTTTAACCACATGTGAATTTTGATTATGATTTCAGGTAAGGCAGTGCCTTTCGTTGAGCTCACGGTAGCCCATGCTTCCGTACTGACAATACTGGCCATCAGCTTCGAACGATATTACGCTATTTGCGAACCGCTGCGCGCCGGTTACGTGTGCACCAAGACCAGAGCAATGATCATCTGTCTGCTAGCCTGGGGACTGGCCGCACTGTTCACTAGGTACTTATTTAATCAAAAGATCATACTAATATCATATATTTTAGTGAATAATATTATAGTATAATAATAATTATACACTAAGTTATTACACTGAATACGTATAATAATTTAAATTTTATTACCCATGTTTTGAAACTAATACTTTTTCCAACAAATGAGTTTTTTTATAGGTGCCAGTTTTTAAAAGTTACAGTTTTTTACGATATTGGACCAATTTCACGAATCGTTGCGCGCTATTATTGTTAACATATCCATGTATAATATTATATTACATAATATTATAAATACTAAAAAGTAACTCTGTCTGCCTGTTACGTTTTAACGTTTAAACTTTTGAATCGATTTTAACGAAATTTGATAAGGATATCTTGGATTTAAAAAAAAAAGATATAATAAACTTTTTTTTTTTAAATAATCAACGCTCTATGAAGTAAATTTAAATTATTATTATATTGATTGATTACTCGATTGAAAGTCAACTACATGGATAGACATTTAGAAAGAGTGTTGATTGTATATCATAAGAACCGTCTAAAAACGATTTTTTTAAGAAGTTAAATCCCTTAAGCGTTTGACAAAGGTGGCAAAGTTTGTACGAGAAATAATATTTTTATGATTAAATTTGAAATTTTTTGTATTAATGATCTTTGACGTAATTCGTGAAACACGTATTTTGACGTTTTTTAAAAAATTAAACTTCAATGGAGGTTGAAAAAATTTGGAAGTCTTATTTTTCAGTTATAATTTTGGCTATGAATATTTTTTACTATTTTATTTAAGTTACTAATAATAAGTTAATTAAGCAAAGCTATTTTTTTTTTTTTTAATTTTTAGAATTTCTCTTAATATGAGTAGTTATTTGACATACAGATTTTTCTTGATTTGTCTTATTCATCATCACCCGTCATAACAAAACTAATTGTGCCTACGCGAGTAAAGCTGTGGAAAGTAACTAGTACTTAATACAAAGTCTTTAATAATATACTATACAAAATATATTAAAATAGTATTTAACTTCGTTTTAATGTATTCGGCTACAGGCCTTTGTATAGTATTTTAAAATGTTACAAAAAATAAAAAAAAAGTTAAACACATCTTGTTTATAATATATAATTATACCAAATGTTTCTAAATCTAACATATTAAAGTGTTTTAAAAATTAATCTAGAGGAAGAATGGCCGTAGGTTTTAATTAGCGTGTCTCATGGCTTATTTTTCAAAGAAATTTTTAAGTATTGGAGAATATCAAAACAATAATTATTGTAGGTGTTTTAAATCGAGAGCTTGAGTTTGGAGAGTCGAGAAAAAGGTTTTTAAAGAGAGGAGCTATTACGATAGAGACGATGATGGTATGCTAAAAAAGAGAGATTTAAAATATGAAGTAATGAAGTGTGTTATGTGAAGTATTTAAAGTATATTTTACAAAGTTACATAAATGATTATACTTTTTAAGTAGGTATTATAACGTATTGTGACTATAAATATGATGTAAACGCTACATTTTTGCTATATTATATTCGTCTCTAACATTAATGATCATTATCGTACGTGTACCCAAAGAAATTTGTAAAATATACGTGAATGGTCTCTGGCAAATATTTATATTCGTGGAGTATAAATTAAATCGCATAGTGTTTATACCTATCTTCACCCACTCGTCCACGCGATTTGTGTATAGTATAGATACATAGGTAATAAGTATATTTCATTACATTGTACTTGCAACACTAACCTAACCTACCATGAATGTATACGGAGTATCCCCTCCCCCATTAACAGTTAAGTTGTCATATCATATACCTAGTACCTATGACATGTTGGTATACGGCTTTAGTCCGGAAGTCGCACGATGTTAACATCAAGACGATAGTGATGCATTATAATATATAGTTTCAAACGGTCCGTGTAATCACTTCTCGGGACGTAAAATAATAACGATAAAAAAAAAAACGGATTGCAAACGGCTTATTCGCGTGTTAGTGTATAAAGAACACTACATTGAACCTACGTAGATATACACAAGTATAATAACGACGACCACGATAAACTGACGACTTTATTACGATGCCGTCGGATAAACACATAACGTCATAGTATATGCGTTGTATATGGTATATGCAGTATAAATATTTCACATTCGTTTCCCGCGCGTGTACGATAGCATATATAATATATATATATTATATGGCAACTGGTTTAACCAATATATGTCTTTTAATTATCGTGGATAACAATAAAGTATTGTAAAACTACTGTTTATGGACAAAGCGTTCATACAGAAAAAATGTATTATTTTTCTTTAAAAATTCATGATATTATCAAAAAATAAAAATGAAAACTCATGCTTTCTTGTCAAACAGTTATGACAGATTTATCTACCAATATTTTATATTCATCGGTTACAGTTATAATACACTATTGTAAAACTAAACTCTATTATAGACAATTAATGGATATAAATGTATAAAATATAAATTGCATACTTTTTAATACAAGAATGAATTATATAATTTTTATATTTTTTTTTTAATCAAAAACGATATGAGTTAAATTTAAGGTTTTTCCTAAAATAAATATAAAACTAACTTTATAGGTTTCCATAATTTTTTTTAATTCCCGTTAATTACTATGTAGCATTCTGACTCGTAGAACTAAAATATAGACAAATATTAATTTTAGAAAAAGTTTATTTTTTCTATGAAAATTTTATGATTAAAAGCTTGCAGATTTCACCTTAAAAAAGTTACCAATATATATCTTTTATTTTATATGGAAAACAATAAAACATTACAGAAAACTTATAAAAAAATAAAAAATAAATTTTTGTGTGAAAATAATAATTATAATAATTTTTATTTTGATATCATATTTGTAACATTTTTATATGCACTCAACTTTCTTCTAAATTTAATTAGTCCATTGAACATTAACGATTGCATATGACGCAGTTATTATTATAACAAACGTTTCATCGAATTTTATATACATTAGACTTTTAGACCATAATTTATATAGATAATACTACTTCCACTAGAAAAACACTATGGAACAATATAATAAATCAAGTTCACATGTATACGTGGCACATTAATTTAAAATCGACACCGACATTTGAAGTGATGTTAAATATAGACAATAATATAATGCACACACAGCATTATATTTTAAGAATTTAAACACCCACCGATAGACAAATAAACGGTGATCTCTGACCGAATTTAACATCACTGCAATTGGGTTTACACTGACATATTTTACGGATTGATCTACCAATTATACAAACTCTCTTAAATAATTAATTAATTCAAATTCTGAATTTTGAAATTTTTACTTATATTAAAGACCATGTATTCAAATATTAGGGATTTTTTTAACTTATTCAAAAAATGTTCTGCAGAGATACACTTCTGTTTTTCAAATATGAACCCCTCGTTTTGCTATAAATTATTGAGCTAATAATTTTTCTAAAAATTTCATTTTATACCTAAATCAAAATTCAAACGAGTAGTTTCTCCATCATAAAAATGTTTATACTTGATGAATAATCCTTAAATATGGTTTTACAAAATATAACATTTTTATATTATTGGATCAAATATTTATTGTACTTTGAATATTTATAATAAATTATAAATATTAATTCCTTAAATGTTCAACTTAAAATAGCCCCTATATCTTTTAAATCCATTATTATAAACCTATTATTTTTTGTATAGAAAGTTAAATTACTTAAAAACTTTTTGTTCCAGTTTTGAATTAGATGCATTGAAAGATTCAAAACATGTATCCGTTAAATATTTTTTAATAAGAAAAGGAAATTCATATCTAGAAAATAAAAATTTGTATCTCTACAGGATTTTTCTTATTAAGTAGTATAAAACAACTCCAGAATTTTAATATAATATAGTCTTTAAGTATGTTTATTAATTCCTAAAATCATATTTTGAATAACTACATTATTGAGAGAAAATGGGGTTAACATGCTTTGTAAATTACATTATATACGTTTTACAACTTATTGGTAGTAGAACTTTACTGTAACACATAATACTTATTTAACTAATTTGGATTGGTTGAGTGAATAATGTGAAGTTATAGATTAATATCAACATTTTTCGAATATATGAGTGATAGGATAAAACTTTATTGTAATAATACAATTCAAAGTATCTAGGTCGGCAAATAATCGCGGGTTAATGTAATATACTGTGTATGTGTGACGTGTCATTTGTCCTTTATTTTTACGTTTACTTCAGGCGCTATGTAGTGGTCAGAGAAGAATTTTTTCATATAATTAAACACCTTGAGAATTTTCCCGATAATAAAAATAATAATAATCTTGATTTAGTAAAGTTTTAAATAAAATAGAGTATTATAATATAATTTAATTACTCGAAAAATATTTTAAAGATCAATCATAATATTTTAATTTATTGTTTTGGCGACGTTATAATACAACCATACCGTGGGTGTCTTCGATCAGCGGGATTTTTATTTTCATAAATTCTTAAGGAAAAATATTACGCCTAGAAAAAATGATGGCGATTTGTTTATCTTTTAGTACTTGAATTATTATTATTTTCTTAAGTTTTGTCGTTCATAGCGTTCTTTATTTAAAGCTGGTACTACACGATTTGTAACCCGCGAACTGCGTATATCAACTGTCGTGTTCTGTCGAACAGAATTCGGTCGTTGTCATCGTTGTTGTTGCCACGCTGATGAATAGCTGCCGTAATCGCCAACATCTGTCATAATAATATATATGGCCGCTTGATAAGCGTCCATTGATTTTGTAAAAACAGCTTTGTCCCAATTTTTTTTTTCCATCAGTATAGTAAAAACAAACGATTTCGACGTACGTAATTGCGGCGATGATAATAATAATAACAATAAAATAATAAAAATAATAACTAATAATATTTAGAAACCTAGTTTTTGACACAAGCGTTTGGTATGAATATTATTATATTATTGCACATTTTCGCATCGTTCACGATGAA